TCAATGAATATTTGTGTTCAGTATTTACAGATGAAAATGAAGGGAAGGGGCCTCAGTTAGGGAAAAGAACAAATGAGTAGAGTTGAGCGGATACCTGGATGTTTGGGTTCGGCGGATTCGGCCGAACTTCGAAAAAAGTCCAGGTTCGGTATCGAACTTGACCATGAATTTGACCCCAAACCCCATTGAAGTCAATGGGGACCCGAACTTTTGGGCACAAAAATGCCTCTAAAAAAGTCCTGGAAAGGGCTAGAGGGCTGCTGTCAGGGTGGCGGTCCGGTGCCCGGGACCCAGACACTGTCCGGACGGTGGTGAGAGGACCGGGACCCAGTATGCCTGATGATAAGTGGGAGTCTTTAGCGTGAGAGTGGATAGGTCAGGGTCTGGTGCTGGGTAACCGCATGCCCCCTAGTGTTGAGCACCAACGTTTGTGCAGCCACACACCAAAACCCTGATGCAGCTACAGCGGATCCCAGGAACTAGAAGCTTGGAGTTAAGCAGACCTCCCAGGAGCTGAATAGGGAGGCTCTGCAGCAGGAGTGTATCCAGTACAGAAGCAAGGCAAGACTAGAGATAGGCACCATACATGAAAACAAGACAAAACTAGGAGAACCCAGAACAAGAGCAGGACAGAAAGCAGAACCCAGAACATGTACACAAGACATGAGGAAAACAAGAACAGGGCAGGACAGGACTGTACATGAACTGGGAATACAAGACAAAATAAAACAAGACAAGAGATACAAGGTAAAACAAGAGGAGACATAAGTAAGCACTATATATGAAAAGTATGGGGATTTAGTTACATTATATGATCATATATCACATTAGCCTGCCACAACGCCAATGTACCCCATATTCGGCCGGTCCTACACTGCCTAATGTTCGCTAAAAGAACCATACTAAACCACAATAGCACTTACCTGCAAGAAAGGGCAGAGACTTGAAACACTGCTGCAGGTCCAGGCTGAAACAAAAGGAATGAAGGAAAACAAACAGGTGTGGCAACGTAAAACAAACTTTTAAATGAATCCAAGAGACTGGGAAATCCAGGGACGGTATAAGAATGAACCCAGAAACCCAGCATAAAGAAAACCAGACATAGAATAGAAAACCAGAAAACCAAGAAAAACTAAACAAGAATTGTAAAAAGAGTATTGGATACCAGAAGCCATTGCCAGAATGATCCACAGCTAGGAACAGGATGTGACAGCTGAAAAAGGAAGTAAAATGGGGGTAAAAGTAGGAAAAGTGCCCTGCAAACAAATGTGGATAGGGAAATCACTTAAAATAACATAAAATGCCTAAAGATTAAAAATACAGCTGAGCCATAAAATAGCACTAGATGGAATCTTTGATTTTAGCTTTGGAAGAACATAAATCAAAATCTAAAGCATGGCTGTCAGGAGGTTCAACAGAATTATCAATTTCAGAGAGGTTTGGAGTGCAGGGTATTCTCTTTCATTGTTCAAACTGAGCTCAACTCCTGATGCATGGAGAAAAGGCCTTTACAAGACTCTGCTATTGTGTACATAGTTTATACTAAGTGACCCATGGGTTGAGGAGGCGGTGACCGTGGCGGTGTAGGTGGAAGCGGCGGTGGAGGAGGAGGTAGCCAACACAGTTTTTTTTTGTTTTGTTTTTATTGGGGTAGCTGCCAAAATATTGGGACATATAAAAAAAAAAAAACATTTGCGGCCTGCGGTGCATTTCTTGCAGTCCAATAACGCCATCAAGTTTTTAAAACTATCCATCTCCACCAGACGGAATGACAGCATTTCAAAGGCCAGGAATTTTTAAATGCTGGCATTCAGGGCCAGGAATTGTGGGTGGGTAGGGGGGTACTTCCTCTTTCTCTCCTGTGTTTGGGAGATGAACAGTTGAACGCTTCCAATGGATAGTGTGGAGATGCTTGGGGCCAGTGGCGGATGTGATAGCATTGCTGCCACATCCTCTGTTTGCGGGGTGGCAGGTGCCACTGTCACTCCTGAGGTGGATGAAGAGGCTGAAACAGCAGCAGAAGAAGAAGCAGGAGGAGCCTGAAACCTTTCTTGATTTTTGAGGTGCTTACTCCAATGCAGCTCGTGATTTGCATGTAGATGCCTGGTCATGCAGGTTGTGCTCAGTTTTAGCACGTTTATGCCTCGCTTCAGGCTCTGATTGCACAGCGTGCAAACCACTAGTGTCTTGTCATTAGCACATTGTCTGAAGATGTGCCACACCAGGGAATTCCTTGAAGCTGGCTTTGGTGTAATCATAGAAACATAGAAACATAGATTGTGATGGCAGATAAGAACCATTCGGCCCATCTAGTCTGCCCAATTTTCTAAATACTTTCATTAGTCCCTAGTCTTATCTTATAGTTAGGATAGCCTTATGCCTATCCTACGCATGCTTAAACTCCTTTACTGTGTTAACCTCTACCACTTCAGCTGGAAGGCTATTCCATGCATCCACGATCCGATTACCATCCATAATCGGTCCCTGTGTGCGGTGGACAGTAGCAGGCGTACTGTCTAGGGGACAGCCGCTCCGCTTTTGCACCTTGCTCTGGGAGGAGGAGGTGGATGTGGAGTAGGAGGTTGAGTAGGCGGTGGCCGTGGCGGTCTAGGTGAAGCGGCGGTGGAGGTGGAGTAGGTAGCCAACACTGTTTTTTATTTGTTTGTTATTTTTTTTATTTTTTTATTGGGGTAGCCCCCCAAATATTGGGACATATAAAAAAAGAAACATCTGCGGCCTGTGGTGCATTTCTTGCAGTCCAATAACACCATCAGGTTTTTAAAACTGTCCGTTTCTACTAGACGGAATGACAGCATTTCAAAGGCCAGGAATTTTGAAATGCTGGCATTCAGGGCCAGGGATCGCGGGTGGGTAGGGGGGTACTTCCTCTTTCTCTCCGGTGTTTGGGAGATGGACAGCTGAACGCTTCCATGGGACAGTGTGGAGATGCTGGACAATTGTGTACCTGGCTTATGCTGGTGAAGGAACCCACCCTCCGAGCCTTTGTGAATGACTGGGCTGATAACCGTGGAAATGACCCTTCTTCCTCCTCCTCTTTCTCCTGTGCCACATTCTCTTCCATCATCTTCAAGGAGATATAGAAGCGGGATAGTAAGGCTGAGAACGGTGTCATCGGCACTGGCCATGTTGGTGGAGTACTCGAAACAGCGCAACATGGCACACAGGTCTCGCATGGAGGCCCACTCATTGGTGGTGAAGTGGTGCTGTTCCACAGAGCGACTGACCCATGCATGCTGCAGCTGAAACTCCACTATCACCTGCTGCTGCTCGCACAGTCTCTCCAGCATGTGCAAGGTAGAGTTCTACCTTGTGGGCACGTCGCATATGAGGCAGTGAGCGGGAAGGCCAAAGTTACGCTGCAGCGCAGACAGGCGAGCAGCAGCAGGGTGAGAACGGCGAAAGTGCCCACAGACGGCACGCACTTTCTGCAGCAGCTCTGATATTTATGGGTAGTTTTTCAGAAATGTCTGCACCACCAAATTCAGCACATGTGCCAGGCAAGGGATGTGCGTCAAACCAGCTTGGCCCAGAGCTGCTATGAGATTTCGCCCATTATCGCACACCACCAGGCCAGGCTTGAGGCTCAGTTGCAACAACCACTCAACGGTCTGTTGTTCCATGCCCGTCCACAGCTCCTGCGCGGTATGGGGTTTTTCCCCCAAACATATGAGTTTTAAAACAGCCTGCTTCCGTTTCCCCCTGGCTGTGCTGAAGTTGGTGGTGAAGGTGTTACGCTGACCGGATGAGGAGGTGGTAGAGGAGGAGGAAGCGGAGTAGGAGGAGGAGGCAACAGAAGGCAAAGCTGTGTACCCAAATAAAGATTGTCAAACATTGTATCCTGGAACTGTGTCCCATCCGGTTACTGGGGAAATGGGTCTTACCTATTCTAATCAAAGGGGATAACCATAGCTTACCCAGGTCCCGCTTCAATTGGTGGCAAGCGGCGGGATCCCATGTCCCTGCCAACAGACCTATGGACTACAGTGCTCTAAAGCGACCTACACTGCAGAACTTGTGTGGAGCCAGAGGAATAATTCCTGGTGGGCGTAACAAGGCCAAATTGACTGCTGCGCTCATAGAGGACGACCATGCAGTGAGGCAACGAACCCCAGCCAGGGGCCGGAGATGAGGAGGAAGTGTGCAAGGTGGTGGACCGGCGCCTGGCATATTACTGAGAGCCACCCTCAGAGGAAATCGTCAGCAGGACCTTTTTGGAGGTGCAAGCCTATATCCTTGCCAATAGACAGAGGGTGACCTCCATGAACCCAGATGAAGTAAGAAGGGAGCAGAGGGTGCCGGGAAGCACAACCACCCTGGCCCACAAGCTACCATACAATGCCTTCAAAGAGTTCAAGGAAGCAGAAGAAGACTTTTTACAAAACTTTGAGCACCAGTGCCTACCCCAAGACATGGACCCCAGCGACTGGGTCACCATCCTGGCAAGCAAACTAGTGGGGAAGGCAGCGGATATTTACCGGGCTGTACCAGAAGAGCAGATCAGAGACTATCCCTTTATTACACAAATCCTCCTGGCCCAGTATGCGGTCACCCCCGAGCAATACCGCCAAAAGTTTAGGGAGACCCGGAAAGGGGAGAAGGACTCCCATGCGAAGTGGGCATGCCGCATCACAAGGGCCACCCAGAACTGGCTCAACTCCCATCAAGCCAAGTTTCCGGAGGAGATCACCCAGCTCGTCATGCCAGAGCTATTTTTTAATGGTCTTCCCAACGACATGGCTGGTGAGAGACCGCCAGCCCCAGACCCAGACCCAAGAAGCTAGCTCATGGCAGGGCATTTGGGCAGGAGCTGGACAGCGTCTCGGCTCACCCACAGCTTCTTCTGGCCCGGCATCTCTCAGGATCTGAGGCAGTACTGCCAGATGTCTGCCAGAGAGTGGGTAAGAGAAGGGACCGGCACAGGGCCCCCCTCCATCCACTTCCTATTAGTGAAGATCCGTTAGGCAGAGTAGCTGTCGACATTATAGTTGCGCAGGCACTCTAGTGAACCTCGGGCCAATCGCACGTCCCCGTGATGGCGACAACGAATTCAGATGTCTGCCCTATCAAATTTCGATGGACTTTCTGCACCTACCATGGTGACCACGGGTAACGGGGAATCAGGGTTTGATTCCGGAGAGGGAGCCTGAGAAACGGCTACCACATCCAAGGTAGGCAGCAGGCGCACAAATTACCCACTCCTGACGCGGGGAGGTAGTGACGACAAATAACAATACAGGACTCTTTAGAGGCCGTGTAATTGTAATGAGTCCACTTGAAATGCTTAAACTAGGATCAATTGGAGGGCAAGTCTGGTGCAGAGCGACTGACCTGTGCGTGCTGCAGCTAAATCTCCACTATCGCCTGCTGCTGCTCGCACAGTCTCTCCAGCATGTGCAAGGTGGAGTTCCACCTTGTGAGCATGTCACATATGAGGCGGTGAGCGGATAAGCCAAAGTTATGCTGCAGCGCAGACAGGCGAGCAGCAGCAGGGTGAGAACGCCGAAAGCGCATCCTGTTCTAAATTGCAGATCAGTCTGGTGATGGCTTCTGGTATCCAGTACTCTTTTTACTGAAGCTGCATCAGGGTCCTGGTATGTGGCCGCACATACGCTGGTGCTCAACACCAGGGGGCGTGCGCTTACCCTGCACCAGACCCTGCTAATCCATTTCACACTGTGACTCCTAACTTCAACATCAGGCATATTGGGTCCCGGTCGTCCGACCGCCACCCAGACAGTGTATGGGTCCCAGTCACCAGACTGCTGCCCTCAATGTGAAACTTCAAATAGCTCATTAAATCTGGTACGAACCCGAACTTTGCAGTTCGGGTTCGCTCAACTCTATTATGGATCCTTTGATCGCTCCATCTGTTACTTGGATAACTGTGGTAATTCTCGAGCTAATACATGCCGACGAGCGCTAGGGGACGCCCGCTCCGCTTTTGCACCCTGCTCCCTCTTATGCTGTGCTGGTGCCTCTGTGCGATCAACGCCTCTTCCTCCAAACTGCACATGTCACTCGCATGACCTTGATTCCATGTGGGGTCTAGGACCTCATCATCCTCCACATCATCTTCCACCCACTCCTCAACCCTGCCCTCCTTGCCGGTCTGCACACTGCAGAAAGCCACAGCAGTTGGCACCTGTGTTTTCCAGCATGTAAACTCTGCCAAGGACATATAGGAATTGTTTTAGAATTGTATCCAGGCAATAGTTTTCCCTATAAACTGACCTCTTAGGTTGACTTGTGAGGGTATTGCCCCTGAATTACAATATTGTTATATTGGTATTTGATGGTTCTATTTGACTGTCAGATATGAAGTGCAGGCCACAAATGTACTATTTAGCACCCAAAAAAAATAGAATTTTTGCAAGTGCTCTGTAAGCACAGTGTTTGATGGTTCTATTTGACTCTCAGATATGAAGTGCACTGCAGGACGCAAATGTACTATTTAGCAACCAAAACAATTAGAATTTTTAAAAGTGCGCTGTAAGCACAGTGTTTGATGGTTCTATTTGACTGTCAGATATGAAGTGCAGGACGCAAATGTACTATTTAGCATTAGCACCCAAAATAATTAGAATTTTTCAAAGTACGCTGTAAGCACGGTATTTGATGGTTCTATTTTACTCTCAGATATGAAGTGCACTGCAGGACGCAAATGTACTATTTAGCACTCAAAACAATTAGAATTTTTTAAAGGGTGCTGTAAGCACAGTGTTTGACGGTTCTATTTGACTCTCAGATAGGAAGTGCACACCCCAAATGTACGATTTAGCACCCAAAACAATTTGAATTTTTCAAAGTGCGCTGTAAGCACAGTGTTTGACGGTTCTATTTGACTCTCAGATATGAAGTGCACCGCAGGCCGCAAATGTACTATTTAGCATTAGCACCCAAAACAAATAGAATTTTTTAAAGTGCGCTGTAAGCAATGTACTATTTATCACAAAAAAGTGTGATTTTTTAAACCAACAATGTAACAGTAGTATTTAACCCCTTAATGACACATGACATGTGTGACATGTCATGATTCCCTTTTATTCCAGAAGTTTGGTCCTTAAGGGGTTAAGGGTTTTATTAGACTGCAAGATATGCAGTACGCAAATGTACTATTTAGCACCCAAAAAATTGCAGTATTTAAAAATGCCTAGATGTTGCCCACTGAACTACCAGAACAGGATTAAAGTCATGTGCCTGGCACACATGCAGTTGCAAGTGCACTGCACTCTCTGTGGCATTGGGCTCAGGGGAGGGTACAAAAGTGTAGTATAGAACCCACTAAAATAATTGCTGTAGTTTGAATAATCGCTGTAGTTTGAATAATCGCTGTAGTTTTCAGATTCAACACCAGAATTCTTTCCTAAGCTGTCCCTCACAGCTGCAGCATCCTGTCACTACACTAATAAGAGCTCATGTGATGTGCGGCGCTACGTGACTCCAGCTTATATATAGAGGCTGGGTCACATGCTGCACTGGCCAATCACAGCCATGCCATTAGTAGGCATGGCTGTGATGGCTTCTAAGGGCAAACGAGTCAAACGCTTGTTGATTGGCTGCCCTGCAGCCTTTCAAAACGCGCCATTAAATCGCCAAACACCGAACTCCAACCCGAACATACACTGAAATGTCTGTGTTCGGGTCCGAGGTCCAAAAACCGTAATATTCGGTACAAACCCGAACTTTGCGGTTCGGGTTCACTCAACTCTACTAATGAGTCATTTGTTACATGTTAGTTTACAGAGGAAGAGGTTCTATTTCAACTGTCAAAAGTAAAGACAAATAAGTCAATGGGACCTGATGGAATACACCCAAAGTTATTAAAAGAGCTTAGTGGTGTACTGGTAAAATCATTAACAGATTTATTTAACCAATCATTGTTAACAGGAGTAGTCCCAGAAGATTGGAAGTTAGCGAATGTTGTGCCCATTAACAAGAAAGGTAGTAGGGAAGGAGTCAGGCAACTATAGGCCAGTAAGCCTTACTTCAGTAGTGGGGAAAGTAATGGAAGCCACGTTAAAGGATCGGCATGTTGAACATCTAAAAACACATGTATTTCAAGATCAGATGCAACATGGGTTTACTTCAGGGAGATCATGCCAAACTAATCTTAGTGATTTTTTGATTGGGTAACTAAAATAATAGATCAGGGTGGTGCAGTAGACATTGCTTACCTAGATTTCAGTAAGGCTTTTGACACTGTTGCACATAGAAGGCTTATCAATAAACTGCAATCTTTAAGTTTGGATTCCAATATTGTTGAATGGGTAAGGCAGTGGCTGAGTGACAGGCAAAAGAGGGTTGTAGTCAATGGAGTATATTTGAAGCATGGGCTTGTCACCAGTGGGGTACCTCAGGGATCTGTACTTGGACCCATTCTCTTTAATGTTTTTATTAGTGATATTGCAGAAGGTCTTGATGATAAGGTATGTGTAAAGAAAATAGACTAACTTTCAGCATTTTCTTATTTTCTTCAATATTTTTTGTTTATTGATTCAGTAGATGAAACTACCGAACACCGACCACCCTCCTGGCTCATTAACTTCAAAGGGAACCGTCCACTGTACAAGGCTTATCAATAAACTGCAATTTTTAAGTTTGGATTCTAATATTGTTGAATGGGTAAGGCAGTGGCTGAGTGACAGGCAACAGAGGGTTGTAGTTAATGGAATATATTTGAAGCATGGGCTTGTCACCAGTGGGGTACCTCAGTGATCTGTACTTGGACCCATTCTCTTTAATGCTTTAATTAGTGATATTGCATTTTTCCTGATTCATTTTGTAGAAACGTTGCATGGATTATGTAACTATCTGTTCATATAGTGCCAACATATTCTACAGCACTGTACAGAGGATACAACAAGACAAACAATTCTAACAAAACAGGATTGACATACAGAAACAGTAGGTGAAAGAGCTCTGTCCACATGAGATTGCAATGTGTTGTACCCATCCCAAGAGTTTGCCTTATTATTTTTATAAATTAATTTCTTAATTTTTAAAAATAAATAAGTAGCTCAAAAGGACCACTATTTTACCGAGTAATGATGTAACTAAACAAAGAACATGCAACAAAACAGAAGCAAATCAGCATATTAGCAGTGCAAATTTGCATAAGATACATCTTTGTAGACTAGTGCATTCTGTTTCAAACGAATTGTTACTCATCCAGGTGATCTGAAATTGTCTGAATTCTGTAACTCTGAAGTGCCATCTGGATGTAACAGGTAAAAAACAAAACAGACAATGGATGAACAATTTTATTTGTTTCATTATTTGAACTTCCAATGATGGCCCCCAAAAAATGTTATTCACAGATCAAGTGAGAAGTGACTAATAGAGGAAAAAGTATGCACATTTAAATGCATCTCCTTTTTAACTCTGTTACTTCTTCTCATTTGACCTGTAAAACAAATAGCTGAAAAATGATGTAATGAGTGTACTGCAAAATATTTATTTTATGTATATATTTTGCAATTTACTGATCAGCCAATTTCTGTGCCCTTTCGGTTTATATGAACTGTTATTCCCAAAACAATTGCATGGTTGAAATTTGACATTTCGTTGAAATGTTGAAACACGACATTTCGGTCCACATGAACAAAAAAAGTTTTTTGCCAAATTTAGTCTGCTGAAACAAATTCTTTCACACGTTTGTTTTCCTGCCACTATAGTTTCCCTTTAAGCATTTAATCATGCATTATTCTTTTTATTGTGGTTTATCTTAATATTTTTTTCCATCTAGCTTTCCCATGATTGTTTTCACTTTTTTTTTTACAAGTTTGGGCATCAAGAACATATTACCCTATCTTAACCCTTTAACTCCGGAGGGCGTACTATTACGCCATGCAGGAGCCAGCTCTAAACGCCGGCGGGCCTAATAGTACGCCCTCACTTTAATGGCCACCCACGTGGCCGGCGCTAGTCGCCCGCTGCAGATCGCGGTCGGGGGGGATGCCCGGCCCCCCAGGCAACCCCCCCTGTGGCCGGTGACCGCGATCTGCAGTCTCTGATCGACAGGCTGTCACTGCGATCAGTTTTTAACGTGTGCGGCTGACATACGTGGCCGGCGGCTACCCCCGTGCAGATCGCGGTCGGGGGACTTACCTGGCCCCCCAGGCAGTCCCCCTGGGGTCAGTGACCGCGATCTGCACTGTCTGAGATCGCAGTGACAGAGCGCTCTGATCGCACTGCGATCAGTGTTACTGTTTTGAAACACAAATATTTGTGTTTAGCGAAGTCTCCCGAGTACAACAGTACCCCTCATGTACAGGTTTTATGGTGTTTTCAAAAGTTACAGCGTCAAATATAAGGCTTGTGTTTCATTTTTTTCACATTAAAATTCGCCAGATAGGTTACGTTGCCTTTGA